ATCTCACCTAAAACAGAACCTACAATTGTTAAAAAATCTAATAAAAATCCTAAAGGAGCACACATATCTCACCTAACAGCCAGCAAAATATCAAGACAAAATTCAATACCAAATGGGAGAACAAAAATCAACAAACAGAGGTATCAATTATGTACAACAATGGACGTTAGCACAAAAGAAAAAATGCAATTAATTCGAATTAAATCCTAAAAATGTAAAACCAGTTCCTAAAACTTCCTAAGACGTTCAGGAATCATGAGAAAAAAAGTTCGTAATTTTTTGATCAATTTTACTATTGTTTTGTGAATTAATTCTAACAACCACTAAAACAGAAAAATAAAGAAAAGAACCTAAAGAAATAACAATGGAGGGTGTAATCAGCAAGAACATCCAAGTGCAGTTCTAGCCTGGGCCCATGCAGGGGGTGCTGAAAGCAGGGGCGCTAGGCCCAAGTGATTGAGAAAAAAAAAATCAACACAAATGTTCTCAAGAAAATGCCCGGGGGGGGGGGGGGGGGTTCAACAAGGCCCAAGTGAAATTGCTCATGTTTAGCTTACTCAGAAATTAAAAATAAAATGTACACAAGGGGGATCGAACCCCTGCACTCCAGGCCAAAGCAGCGCTGAATGCTTGGCTTCATTCAAGCCAAAACGGCAGTGTTTTGGAGGCGCATACGTGGCGCGCTCGCTGCCGCCAGATGGGAAGACTTGGTCTTCTCCCTCAACGCGATGGAAGGATCTGATTTCGTCACCTTCGTTTCAAATTTCTGCACATGAAGAAGCTTCGCGCGCAGCCCTCCCATGGTGGACGGGAATGAACATTTTCCGGCAAACTTTAAGTGACCATATCTCCCTCAATAATACACCAAACGCGATGATTTTTGAACCAATTTTGCATTAAATTTCGAGAGGAATCCAAATATACTACTTAAACAGCCTAAAAATCCATGAATAAAAAATTACATATCCTAACCGAAAACGCATCTAATCCTAAAATCTCATTAAACATCAAATTCTTTGCCCAGAAATCATCTACAACTTAAGGTGAACCTAACCACATGATTCTAATGCATTGAAAACACATAAATTAAGAGAAAATTCAAGAAGTAAGAACCTGAGTTCAAGCTTCAATTGGAGTCGTTTCTGGCTTGGTTCTTGATCCAAAACGTTCCAGATCCAATGAGTGATGATGTTAGAAGAAGATTGAATCCTCAATTGTGCTTGAAACGGCCTCTAACAGAAATTCACTCTTTCACTTTTCTTATTCAAGCTCCAATGGTGATCTTTGCTCTCAACCCCAATCAATCATCAACCTTGTTTCTGATGAGCTCCTAGACCTTTATAGGATTGTTTAGAACCTTCTAGAGCTCAGGCCCAAGCCCAAAATCAAAGATCCAAATCCAACTTTTCTTCCAAAATTTGATTATGGCAATGCATGAAATTGGCTTCATAGCTTGCATTGGAAGCTTTGGATGACTTACATATTTCATTTAGAATGAATTCAGCCCAAAAGGAGTCTCCAAATTACCTTTGTGAAGGAATTGTGTTATGTAACTTTTATGTGAAGAAATCCTATGAAAGGCCATGAAACACACTTCAAATGAAAATTCCACAATTGCCAATGTCTTTAAAACATATTTTATGATTAGAATGAATGGTTATTTGACTTGGTTTGGACCCATAACCATTTATTTCAATTTCCCACCAAAAATGCCTTTGAATTTCTTCTTTATTCAAACCACTTCACACCAATCTTTGATATGAGCCAAATCAATTTACCATGAGTTCTTGGTTAGCATAAAAACCACATTTTAAACAGGTTCCATGTTGAACAAAAATCCATTTGACAAGTGCAAGTTGGAGATTTTGACCTATGATTGAAAATGGCCTATAATCTCACTTTCCCAAAATACCCCTGACTTGTAAACCTCATAACTTGAGTTCTACAAATCAGATGGAAGACTTCTAATACAATTTGGAAAGATAAGATCATGAGGAACAACTTTCATGTTGTCCAAAAGTTCATGTGAAACCTCCTTCTAGGTCAAAAATAGCTTGGAAGTCAGATGATTTTCACAAACAAATTTCAGAGGTATCTGAGGACCTGTAACTTGTCTGGACCATAACTTGAGTTCTCTAAATCCCCTTGAGGACTTCTAGTACTAAAATTAAAGGTATTGAGATTCTCTACAAGTTCCATGTTGGCCAAAGATCCATTTGAAACTTGTATCTTGACTTATGTGGTCTTGAAGTTAGGCACTAAACAAGGGATTTTACACTGAAACCCTAATTTAGCAACTTCCCACACCTTTGACTCTTCTTGACTTGATCTTGGCACAACACCACAAATGTCTCAACATATCATTTCATTAACTCCATGACCTAAAAGTAGGCTTTGATATTCTTCAATTGCACAGTTGATCTAGGATTGACCCAAATGAAACCCTAATTGCTTGCACCTCAACTGTGGCTTTTGCATTTGACACAATGACTTGATTGAGCTCTCCCATGGCCCTCTAGGCATTCTATGAGCTCCATACACATCCTCTTCTCATATTCAACACTTCACATCCCTCTGATGGTCTTCAATTGATTCTCAAGTTAGGAAAAAATCCACATGCAAGAATCTAAACTCTTAGGCACTCAAACCACTTCTTGATGACCCTGATAACTTCTCAATCTTGAATAAGACCTCTTGCTAGGCTTCTCTTGATAAGAATCACACTTGATCCCCTTCTATATGAATGATATCATGATATGCAAATGATATAACTATGCAAATGTTAATGCAATGAAACATAAACCAAGTAAGAAAAGAGGTTGGGCAAATTTTGGGGTGCAACACTATATATGTGTTTATTTTCATGATACACCAAACCAATCATCTTCAGGTAATCTCTATTACCTATCAAAATATCTTTCATATTTTCATTTGTCTTCCTCGCATTCTCATTTTAGTATTTTATTAACCACATAGACTGAATAAAAAAATAATACAATGAGGCTAGCAAATTTGGATGTTGTAATCAAACTACGAAACTTGTGTTTGATGCTCTTGATAAAACTGAAACTTGGGAAATTGTAGACCTCTCACCAAATATAAAATCAATAGGTTATATATTGGTCTATAAAATCAAGCACCAGATATATGGGAGTATAAAGAGATTCAAGACAAGATTAGTCGCCACAACAGACACCTTTTCACTTGTAGCAAAGCTTACCACATTCAGATTTTCCATAGCTCTTGCATCAACTAACATGTGGAATTTACATCAATTTGATGTGAATAATGCTTTCTTGCATAGTAAACTACATGATGATGTATACATGATAGTTCCACCTAGTGTTACGTCTTCTAAGTCAAACCGTGTATGCAAGTTAAACAGGCTAGTACACAATGGTATGAGAAGTTGACATCTCTTCTTATTCATCATGCCTATAAATAAGTAGCTTCAGATCATTCATCTTTTGTTAAAAGCAAAAGCTTAGACTTCACCATCCTACTTGTCTGTGTTGATGGTGTGATCTTAGAAGGAAATTCACTTTCTGAAATTCAACATATGAAAAATACTCTTCATCAACCCTTGAAAATAAAGGATCATGGCATTCATAAGTTTTTCCAATGTTTAGAAGTAGCTTATTCTAAACATGGTTTTTCACTGTGCCAAAGGAAATACTGCTTTGATCTTCTACCATAATCAGGATTGCTCGGTTTCAAACTTGTTTTCACTTCATCTGATCCATCCATTAAATGGTGCAATGAAAATGTTGATTCTTCTGAAGACATATCATACATAAGGTTAATTCGCAAACTTATCTACCTCAACACTACCAAACCCGACATCACATGCATCACCTAGCAATTGAGTCGATTCGTATCCAAGCTTTTAATTGTTAATCATAATGTTGTCTGCAGGGTATTGGAATACCTCTAACATTGTCTTGGTCGAGCCCTATTTTTTCACTAGAGATTCATTTGTGCATCTCCTTGGATTTTATGATGCTAATTGGGCTGATACATAAATACCAAAAGATCAATTTCAAGATCTTGCTTCTTTATCGGCACATCTCTCATTTTATGGAGAACTAAGAAGCAAAGCACGGTTTCACGATTTTCTTATGAAGCAAAATGTCGTGCTTTGACTTCTGCAGCATGTGAGCTTCAATAGATACTATATTTGTTGTGTGATTTACAAGTTAGTTGTGTCAAACCGTCTGTTTTGTATTGTGTGATAACCAGGGTGGTTTGCATATATCAACCAATCATGTTTTTCATGAAAGGACAAAACATTTGGAGATAGGTTGCCACATTATAAGAGAGAAATTTCAAGCTAGTACCATGAAGCTTCTTCCTGTTTCTTCGCACAAACAACTTCTTTACCAAGTCCTTTTAGCCTAAGCTGTTTTATTTTCTCATGTCCAACTTGAACTTGATCAACCTATATCAAAGTTCCATTTGTTTGAGACTATTAAATAATGATGAAGAAGTTAGTTCAAAATTAGTTAAAATTCAGTTTCATTTTGTTGGTTAGTTAGCTGCATTTTTTGTTGTACAAGTAACAATTCAATAAGGATGTAATATGTTAGCTATGGTGGTCTTTCATCTCCATGTGTATATATAGATGTTTTATAAATGAAAAAAAGCAGGAGAAACAAACATTTATGCAGTTTCTGTTTTAAGTTCAATTCAATCATGAACTTCTTGAATGCCAATTACAGTTATTATTACATGATTCTTCATTTTTTTGTGTATTTATTTCTAAGATCAATTAAGAAGAAACATAAAAAAGAGGAGGAGCAAATTTAGTATAATACATAACAAAAAAGAAAAAAAAAAATTTTATTTAACACATTGGTAACTAGTTTAATCTAAAAACATAAAATAAGGCTGCATCTGATAAAAACTATACAGGAGCCTAAACGAGTATATTAAGTAAGCAAAATATGGAAAAAGATAGGTCCTTGCTTGGAGGAGATTAAGACATTGACTAAACTAATAGCTTATAAGATTTTTTCTATGGTGGATGTTAGAGTCGACTTGGGCACAGCTCCAACAACAGTGTCTTTCTTGTCACCGTCTTTAAAGATCATAACAGTTGGGATACTTCGAATTCCGTAGCGGGTAGCAGTTGAAGGACTCTCATCGGTATTGAGTTTGTAAAACTTGAGTTTTCCAGCATATTGTTTTGCTAGTTCATCAAGTATAGGGTGGATCATTCTGCAGGGACCGCACCATGGAGCCCAGAACTGAACCAAAACGGGTGAATCAGATTCAAGTACAAGTGATTGCCAATTTGCTTCAGTTATAGGAGCCACTGCATTATAAACCAATTTATAAAATATTGAAACTCAAATTATATTCAAAATTTGCATGTTAACAATTTGAAAACTGACCATCGACAGCGGTATTCTGGGCCTCGCACACTACACGTGAAGTGCGGGTAGCGGTTCTGAGAGTAGGCGAAGCAGTGAAAATGGGCCGGGGCTTGAGTTTTAGGGCGACGTAACGCGAGAACTTGAGAGAACTGCGGGTTACAGAAGAAGGGCGAGGGGCGACGGCAATGGATTCGATGACGGTGGCCATGGATTGCGGGTAGTGTTTGATGAAGGTGAAGAGAGTTGGATATTATTGTGTGTGTGGATGAGGATGAGGTGAGAGAGTGTTTGTTGTCCGGCTGAATTTTCATGTTAGTGTGTGTTATATCAGCTGAACCAATGGTTTCATGCCATGTCACCACTACTTCTAACCAATAACATGTTCTCGAACTCCCTATTTTATTTTATTCCGAGGTAAGGTTTATGCTTTCTTTGCTTCTAGGATTTAAATGCTCACGGAAAAATGAGTGATATTATTGTTGTCTTTTTAAATAATATTCTCTTTTTTTTTTTTATAGGAGAGATAATTCAATTTTTAGTTGTATTGAATAATCAATGTATTTGGTCAGTTTATAGGTTGGATACATTGATTATTCAATAAATTTAAAAGATGAATTGTCTTTTATAAAAACGAACTGAAGTAGTATATTAACTCTTTTAAAAAAATCGTTTACCCAAATATCTCACTTTTTCAGAAAAAAAAAATTCTAAAATAACCTACTTTTTAAGTTATTTTCCAAAGTACCCCCCACTTTAAGGTACTGATTGAGTAAAGGCGCCAGATGAATTGGTGATCCCTTACAAAGGCAAAGAGTTGTCGTCAATTGGATTGGAGACACCACATGGTGTTGCCAATCCAATTGGCGCCACAATGCAAAATCTTGAATGTTGTCGCCAATTTAAATGGAGACAGAGAGGAAAGTGCAATTTTTAAACATAAATAAGTAATATTAATATTTAATTAAAAATAATATTACATAAATTAATGTTGGCGACCATAATGGTCATACCGGCCACCGGTTTCACATTCCTTAGGCACCCTCACTTGTTGCCCTCATTGCCCTCGTTGTTGGTTCACTCTAGGTGTTTGAGGATTTGAGGTCTCAGGAACATTTCCAGCAGAATCCCTAAGAATTTCTTGCATTTCCAAGAAGTCTTGTGTGTTGAAACTGAGCTCGCGACCCATGTCAGAGTAGTTGGGATGTGATAAAGGGGTCATTGGTGTGCGACCTAGATGATTGAAGAGGGACATTGGTGTGAAGCCTTCGTTGGTGAAAGGTTGAAATGGTATCGGTGTTTGAAAGCCATAATGTTGTTGTGATGTTTGTGTGTGTAGGCTATGTGTTGCACCCTAAAATTTGCCCAACCTTATTCACTTGGTTTATGTTTCAATATCATTGGCATTTGCATATAGAGTCATGTGCATAGTCTAATCATCTGCATAGCATAAGCATAGCAAGTCATACAACAGGGGGACCAATCATTATTCTCATCTCTAGAAGCCTATCAAGAGGTTATTATCCCAATTCAATCTCATTCAAGTCATCAGGAAAGAATTTGAAAGCAAAGAGTTCAGCAGATCAAGCCTTGAGTCCATCTCCTAGCTGAGGGTATCTGAGGGTCAACAAGAGGGCTGTGAGCTGTGAGTTGAAGGCATGGAGAGTATCTAGACATTATGAGAGACTTAGAAAGTCATTTAAAGAAGGAGAAAAGTCATTGATGAGAGCACAAGGGCTACAGCTGAAGGCAGTCAACTAGGGTTTCATCTGGGTCAACCCTAGGTCAACCCTAGGTCAATTGACTGATTTAAGAGACATTCAAGTCTAGTGGAGAGATGTGGGGTTCATCATTGGACATATAAAGAAGGATATGGAGATATGCCAAGAAGAATTCAAGAGAAATCAAGGAGAAGAGGAGCTTCTAAATTAGGGTTTCTGTGTAAAATCCCCTAGTTTAGGTCAAATTTCCAAGCAAGATAAGTCAAAATGCTAGCTTCAAATGGATCCTTGGCCAACATGAAACTTGTAGAGGATCTCAAGACCTTTAATTTGAGTGGTGGAAGACATCAAGTAGATTTATAGAACTCAAGTTATGGTCCTTGCAAGTTACAGGTCATCTGAGGTATCTGAAATTTTGTCTGTGAAAGTGGCTTGACTTCCAAGCAATTTTTACCCCTCAAGGAGATTTCAAATGAATTTCAGGTCAACATAAGAATTGTTCCTCATTGTCTTAGCTTTCTAGAATGGTATAGTATGCCTTCATATGATGTGTGGAACTCAACTTATGGTCTTGGCAAGCAAAGGGTATTTTGGTCATTTGTGAATTACAGGTCATTTTAACCTATGTCCAAAACTCATACAAGGAGGCCTCAAATGGAAAAACTTACAACATCAAACTTGCTCCAAATGTGATTTTAAGTCTAGAAAGAAGGTCACAAATTGTTGGAAAAGCTCATAACATGAAGTTGCATGATTGGTCAAATTTGAACTAAAATGGCTTATAACTTAAATAAAGTCAAAGTGAAAAATGGTTTGAGAGATTTATAAGTCCAAATGGAGACTTCCCATATATGATTTTGGGTCCAAAACACATTCTAAGAACAATGGTTCAAGCACTTTTTTGAGTTTAGAAGGAAAAAGAAAAGTTACTTATGGTTACTTGCATTTGAAGAAACATAACCAAAATGGATTCAATTTGGAATGCAAGGGAAGTTGCAAGATGGTTCTAGAAGGTTCAGTTGAGCATTATATATTCATGAAATCAGAATTGAGCAAGGGTTGAATCCTCATTTGTGCAAAAATCTCACAAATTCTCTCTATTCTTTCTCATTGCAATTTCATCCAAATTTCTCAAAATCTTCATCAATCATCACCAATATTGATTCTACCATATTCAATCATCATCATGGACTAAAGATCAACAAAGATCTGATTGAAATTGATCCATTTTCGAGCACCATAATCATCAATATCCAAATTGCAATTTCAAGTGGATAGCAAGATCCAAGGCAAGAATCAGCAAGGTTTTGCAAACAGAATCAAGCACTGAGTTAGTTGATCAAGATCCAAGCATTAGAAGCCTCAGATCCACGAGTTCAACATCCATTTACAAGCTTTTGCATCAGGTGCATTTTCTCTGCCATTGCTTAATTTAGTTAGTTTAGCATTAGTTTGTTAGTATAATAATGATGTAGGATGTTAGTAGAGCATTTCTGGTTAATTAGGAGTAGTTTAGTGATAATTCATAGCAGGTTGTTAGAACTGGTTTGACTTAGAACTCTTAGGATAGGCCATAATAATCTTAGGTTGTTAGTGCAGAATGATCTATGTGAAGTATAGAAGAGATTAGTATAGGTTTGGTTGAGGTTCTTGAGGATAGGTTGCAGAGCATTTCCATGGTGGCCAGAGCTTATTGCTATCGGGTTGAGAGTTATGTTGAGTTTCAAAACAAACTACCACCATAGTCTTGTAGAGGAAGAAAATTGGAGCATTTTTCATGTTTATATCGTGTTGATCCATGGACTGGAGAGAGAGAACCGAGAGCTTGAAGTATGCGTGCATGGAGTTTTCATGGAGGGAAACCCTAGCTTCATGAACACAAGGAGGAAGAAGAAGTAATCATGACCGTCCATTGCTTGTTGGACCATTGACTCAAAGCCTAGATCGTGAGGCTCTCATTCATACTGAAGATTGGAGGGAAGTTGAGTGCCCTAAACGCACCGTTTCATTTAATGAAACGGGCGGGCCTAAGTCCTTGCTTTTGCCACCTCCCGTATATGGGCCCAGTTCAATCTGAACGTGAAAACCCTACTGAATACACCCCCTGCTTCCTCTTACTTTTTTCTTTTATTTTCATTAATTCTGACTTGTTCTGGGCTTAATACAAACTCGCTACGCGCACCCCACCATTGCTGGCCCATCCTGATTGCAACTGAGCGTGTCTGCTATTAGTACCCCCTCCCTCTCATTTTAATTGATTTAGTTTTTTAATTCACTTTAATTTTTACCAACTTTAAAAAACCATATAAAATAGGAAATTAACTCTTTTTTAGTGGTTGTTTTTTCTATATTTTCTTGGTTCTGTGTAGAAAATTGTCATTAAATAAAATTGCATTTTTATTTTTATTTGATATTTTTCCCATATTTTCTAAATAAATGACATTTTAAATAGTTTCATTTCATGCATGATTTTATTAATTTTTGTTCTATTAGATACTTTCATATTTTTTGTTCATTCTTTTTAGGTTGCTTAGATGAGACATTGAACTTGTAGATTTAATTTAGTTCCCATTTTTAGAAATTAATTTTAGGTACTTAATGTAGGCTTGAACAACATGAACAAATTAGGGTTTTTAGGTGATGACTTAGGAGATTTGATTCTTTTCCCTTAGGACTTAGGGTTTGACTAGTTTAGTTATGGGACTATAGGGGCTATGGGTAGTTATTAGATCCCTTAGAAAAAGTAAGGACTCCCCTACTGCTATTAATACTCTGTGTATGTCTGATTGACTGGTGTGGTGTGCCCTCTGGGGATTATTGCTTGCTTGCTTGGGTATTGGGATTGTCTGGGGACTTGAGGTGATGAAGACCATTGGAGATCCAGAGATTGAAGATCAACTGCCAGAGTTGGAGAAGAGATTCTTGCTAGCAGCTGCTGAGGAGACTAGGGTTTAGGAGCTAGGCAGAGCTCTAGATTAGAAAGCTTGTTTCTCAAACATGGAATGCCTTGTCTGCATCCATCCTTTCTCTATGATTCAAAGTCTCTTTCAAATATCCACCTCCTTCCTTTGGAAGGATCAGTGAATATATTTGAAAGATAGAACTTTTGAGAGGAAACTTTCTGTTTAATGTTAACAGTTGATGAACCACCATTGGTAGGTAATTAACTGTCTAACATTCATTCACTTCACTCTTGTGACTGATTCCTCATCTTGGAGGTTTGAACTTGAAGAAAAGCCATTGCTTATAGAAGACTGATGATCAAAGCCCTTGCCTGAAGGCCATGAAGATGGAGACTGATGCTTGTTGAAGCCTGTAGCTGATTGGAGATTACTTGAAGCTAGATGTTGATTCAGAGCTGCTGATGCTGTTTCTTTTGCTGTTGTATTTCATTTCTTGATATATTGTTTGGTTTTCCGGACTGTATTGTTTGTTGTTTACCCTGCTGGGTTGGAAGTGAAGTCTGTTCACTTTTGCCTATTGTTTTCCA